GCGTGGTGAGCGAGCGCGGCGAGGAGCGGCTGCGCTCGTGCCACCTCTGCAACGCGTCGGACCCCAAGAAGGCGCATCCACCAACCTTCCTCACCGACCTCAACAATCCGCACAACCTGACGTGCTGGCAGTCGGAGAACTTCCTGCAGTTCCCGCACAACGTCACGCTCACACTGTCACTCGGGAAGAAGTTCGAGGTGACCTACGTGAGCCTGCAGTTCTGCTCGCCACGGCCGGAGTCCATGGCCATCTACAAGTCCATGGACTACGGGCGCACGTGGGTGCCCTTCCAGTTCTACTCCACGCAGTGCCGCAAGATGTACAACCGTCCGCACCGTGCGCCCATCACCAAGCAGAACGAGCAGGAGGCCGTGTGCACCGACTCGCACACCGACATGCGCCCGCTCTCCGGCGGCCTCATCGCCTTCAGCACTCTGGACGGGCGGCCCTCGGCGCACGACTTCGACAACTCGCCCGTGCTGCAGGACTGGGTCACAGCCACCGATATCCGTGTGGCCTTCAGCCGCCTGCACACGTTCGGCGACGAGAACGAGGACGACTCGGAGCTGGCGCGCGACTCGTACTTCTATGCTGTGTCCGACTTACAGGTGGGCGGCCGCTGCAAGTGCAATGGCCACGCGGCCCGTTGCGTGCGCGACCGTGACGACAGCCTGGTGTGCGACTGCAGGCACAACACGGCGGGCCCGGAATGCGACCGCTGCAAACCGTTTCACTACGACCGACCCTGGCAGCGCGCCACGGCCCGCGAGGCCAACGAGTGCGTGGGTGAGTGGGGCGCCGCGGCGCGGTGGGTTGGGACGCGGTAAATGGTTCCCAGGCCTCTAAGCGGTAGGTTCTGGGGATCGAAGAAGCAGCCGCGTTGTAAGATTTTAAGTTACAGTAACGTGGCGGTAACCCTAGGAAGCGCGTTCGGGGATATCCAGGACCTGGGAGGGCTGAGAGCAGGGCTCGCGGTGGACGCCCGGGTTTGCGCCCCGTGCCCTTTGCGAAGCCAAGATGCAAGAAGAGAAATGCTGCCGGGAGTTGGGAGTGGGGGTTGGAGAAATTCTGTGGAAACACTTTCATTGCCTCTCTCTCAATTTGGCTGGTCCCTGGGATTTATCTCTATCCCATCCCCCTTTCCTAGGGTTGCAGCTGGGCGCGCGGTTGGGGACCCCGGCCCCGTTCCCAGGAAGTTTCAGCTCCATAACTACAAATCCCTTGGGAGAAGGCAGAGAGCACTCTGCAGTTTGGGGCCAATTCAACATCCGGCAAATATCACTCTTGCACCCTCCATTTGTCTTTTAATGGTTTGAAAAAAAATTCCTTTTCTCTTTTGAACAGCGTGTTTGTGTTAGCAAAAGAAGAGTGATGTGATTTCAATTAATTACTATCTACAGATTACAAAGGAGGGTTCAGTAACTGTTTTAAACTAATTCAATCCTGATCCAAAAAAGGAAGTATAGGAGATTTTTTTTGTTAGCTTCGGGGTTTGGTGAAATGGAACGGTTTTGAATTAACTAAGGGCCCAGCGTCTGGATTTTTAATGGAGTTTTAATTCCTGAAAGAGAAATCTGTCAAAACCGGGCACTAGTGAATAAGCCTGGGTCAGAAATGATGCTATAAAAAGGATACACACATTCTACTTCGCAATTGTACAACTTTGTTGGTGCGGAAATTCTCTGGTCTGGCGTCTATTTGTTACTCCCCACAGAGAAGGAAAGGGAGAGGGAGAGGGAGAGAGGGAGGGGGGGAAGAGAGAGAGAGAGAGAGAGAGAGAGAGAGAAAGTTTTCAGTGTGAGATGTAAATTTCCAAGTCCCCCATAGATTGTAATGAAAATCATTTTAGCCCATCTATGTGCCATTTGGTGAGCATCTTTTGTGAACATATAGCTTTTTCCTCCCCCAACCCCAAACAGCTGCCTGAATCTCTTCAGTTGCTTCACCCTCTGAAGCACGTTGCAGTTTGCTGGTCCCCACAAACACACGTTTTAACGGCTGCTTCTGATTAATTGTGTCATGTTGTTGTCGAATAGTTTGTGCCTCATGACTGTGGATGCAGACTTCTGAGCAAGCGAATGGAAAACATGTCTTGGAGGGTCGGCTCAGTACAGAGGCCCAGGCAGGCGCCCTGGTCTGCAGACGCCTGCGCCTCCTGTTGCACGGAGGAGCCTCCATTTTTACTCATCGTGACTTGCTTTTGCAGATCTAATTGTTCATCCTCATCCTTCAAGAGACAAAACTGGCTTCCAGTTTTAAGAGACTTTTCGGGAGTCTGCAGAGTAGCTACACCCCAACTTAGTGGTCTAGGAGAATAAAGTTCCTTTGATCTGCTCAATTCCCTCAGAAGTGTTGGTTTTTCCCATCTCATCTGCTCCCTTCCTTTCTTCCTTTCTTTTCTTCCTTTTGTGCATAAAAAACCCTTTATTGACATTTAAAGGGATTCCTAGGGTTTTGCTATCAGTTTTTTTGTATATATGTATGAAAGATGACTTGTATGGTCACTAACAGGGCCTAATTGAACAAATGGAAGTGAAAACATTGAAGCAGATGAACTGAATGTCCTGGAAAAATGTTACTGGCTTGAAGATTCATTCCTCTTAGCCTTGGCATTGTTCAGATTCTCACCACCCCCATGTCTCCCTGTCACTTTGGGCCTTGAAGACATAACTTGAATTTCTTACAAGGATAGTTGAGCACTTGAAATAATCTATAGTGTAGGATATTTTGTCTTTCCACCAAAGCACTGTGTACACAAATTGGATTGAACTTTTTTTTTTTTGCCAAATTGAGCAATCAACATATTAACTAGTAATTAGCAAGCTTTTTGGTTCAAAAAGTTTAATTAAGCCTAATAAGTACATAATCTACATGACAAATGATCGGCTAAAGATATTTTTCTGAGTTTTACTGAAGTTATTTTAATTCTGAATAGTTAAAGTATCTTTAAATCTTGTCAGTTATTCAGTCATTTCATTAAAGCAAAACCAATTCAACTCTCTTAAAGATATTTATAGTTTCCTTTTTGAATAGATGTTCAGATTTCTTGTAGATATAACTGGAAACATCAGATTGAAGTTCCCATAAAGTCTTAATTGAAGTCTTAGTGATTTTTCCATCATTCTTTAAAGGAGAAAGCCAGCAAGGACAATTTAGGAGTGATTTACAATTAAAGGTTGAGCTTTTTATGAAAAGGTCCTCTGGTGGAGATATGTAAAAAAATTAGTATTTGACAGGTGTTCTGAGATACTAAGGGATACTGTGCTAGGAAAAAGCATTAATAAACCCTTCAAAAACTAACTTTATCCTATCAGAGACTCAGACCCCCCCACACCCCGTCCCATCTTGTGAATTTCACACTGTTGACACATAAAGTCAAGCTATCCGGACTATTTACCATTAAGGCATAGTAAAGTATATTTTTTCATGTTTCTTTTTCTTTTTCTGTTTTTGGTACCGGGGATCAAATTCAGGACCTTGTCCTTGTGAGGCAAGTGGTGGAACCACTGAGCTCAATCCCTGGCTCTGTAAAGTGTATTTTTTTATTCCCAAAATCAGTCCTGATAAAAATGGGACCCTGTTACTGTGTCATTCTGTTTTTGCCTTTATGAAATAATGAGACATGATTTATAGTGAACTAAAATGGCGTACTTCCCTAGATTAGTCTTCACTTCTCCCTAAAAATATCCCTAGAAATTTAAAACACATTGGGGTTTCTTGACTGAATAGTCTCTCTGCAGAGGGCTGATATACTTACAGATTACTAAGAAATGCACATAGCCTACGTGCTTTCTTTGCTCCAGCGTTCATTTCTGCTGTTATTTCAAGGTCAGTTTTTCTACAGAAAAAACTGTGAACTTTTGTGAAGCCCAATTTTATTTTTAATTCAATTTTGGATTTCTTCTTTGAATAAAAACTCTAGAAACAATATGAAAGACAAGACTATGTATGTCTAAATACCTTCTTCCACCCATATGTATTAGCCACATTCACATGCTTTTATACACATGTGCATTTACATTCTCTGTGTAAAGAAACACCCATGCATGGTGGGGGTGTCTGCATTCAAGGGAAAATGCATGAACAATTTTAAACCACCTGAGTTGCTAGGCCCTTTCCCCCACTTTTCAAAAGCGCATCTGAAGACCATATTGTGTTTCATAAATTATTGACATCAGTTTTAATCAGTGTCCCCCTGACGTTGGAGCTGTGTTAATATTTAGTGCCTGACGAAGCATGCTGTTTAATCTTACTGTGGGGATGTCAGCATGAGCCCGCGCCTAGTTTGTGACAGGTTGAGCTTATGAAAACTCGTTTTGCTACTCATTCTATGGCTTTGCATGGCCCAGCTGTAATCCAAAACCCCCACAAAAGACACCTATGCAAGATGAGCACCATGCTGGGCTGGCCTCCTATGGCCATGGGTACCTGCAACATAATGCTCATAATTGTTTAAACATGGCTTTGAGAAGGGGGGTGTTCTCATGCTGTAAATGGCCCTGGTGCTTGGGCCCACCCTCATCCCTGGCAAATGAGGGAGTTTATATTGAAGGTGTTGCCTCGAGAAATCCGATGCCCTGCTAGAGATCCTTGCAAAATCATAAGGCTAAAATTATTTGATGTCTCGTCCAGAACCTTGTACATAGCTGTGGATGAGTGTATTTTTTAATAGTCATAGTGATTATCATAATTCCTGCCATTATGGTGATTAACCCTTGAGGGCTTATTCTTTGCCAAGCACTCACATTAATTTAGTCATTTAATAATTGTGACTGTGTTAATAATAAACACTATTATTGTCCTTATTTTAGAGATGAGGAAACTTGGTCTAGAGACATTAAAAGCTTTACCTAAACCTCATAGTAGGTGGGGAAGCTAGAACTCTGGTCTGATTTTTGTGCTCTGGTTTAATTGCATTTGCTCTGCTGCCTCTCAGTAGAATGGATGGATAGATGGATGGATGATTGAGTAAATGATTAAATGAATGAATAGCTGTTACCCATCTGTGTATGGAAGAGAAACTGGGTCAACCTGTTACTTCTTGCCAGCACTGGAGGTGGTTCCCTAATTGCGTTGCATTGTATTCTATCACCTTAGTGTTCCATCATACTCAAACGTTGTATACAAGAAGTTTTCCCCTATTTTATCTTAGGCAGTGGGCCTAGGGGGAGCTGGGAGGTAGGACTGTAAGTGAAGAAAGTATAAATACTTTGTTGTGGGTTCTCAGCATCTACAGATGTGGCCAGTGGCCAAGTCTTCATTTCAGAGCATGTGATCCTTCCCAAAGGTAGTAAAGCAGAGCTGGTGATCTAAAAGTCCTCTTTAAGAAGGCTGGGTCTTCTCACCTTCCTTACCATCCCACTGCTTCAAGTGGCCTAAGGCATCACTGCAGTGAGCTTGAGTTGGCAACAAAGGGCTACCATTTATCTGTTGACCACTGGCATCTGGAGTCAGGGTCTTATTAGCACCTGACATAGCAGAGAACCTCAAGGTGAGGAGGCCACTACTCACAGCTCCACCCAGAGAAAGGAGGTAAGTTTGTCAGGGAAGACCTTTTGGGGCTGTTGGTTTGTACATTTATAGGCTTTGCCAGGCTCTCCTTTTGCCCTGCCAGGATTTGTCTGACCTCCTCCTCCTGGAGAAAAATGAGATCCTCAGAAAAGTATTTGAGACTTTATGTCCAGAGTAAATATTGGAAAGGCAGTGGGTTTCAATTCAGATGTTCCCTGGAAGGAATCCCCTCATTTTCTGCTCACAGCTGGTATCGATATTTCCTTCTTGAGATG